AATAAAAACATGGCGGAAATATTAAAGGGAGAGTAAGAGAGGAGAAGGTAAGAAAAATAATTGAGAAAGATGGACAGAGAAAAAATAAGAAATTTGAAGGAATAAAAAAAATAAAGAAAGAAAAAAGAAAGAAAGAAAACGAAAGTGGGAAATAAATAAATAAATAAATAAAGAAAGAAAGAAAGAAAGAACGAAAGAAAGAAAGAAAGAAAGAAAGAAAGAAAGAGAAAAAGAGAAAAAGAAATAAAGAAATAGAGAAAGAAAAAAGGAAGGGAAAAGGAAAGAAAAAGAGAGAAATAAATAAATAAAATAAGTTGGAAAAGAAATGGACGGCATGTTTAAGAATGGCGGGAAAGAAGAGAACGAGATGAAAACAGAGAGATTGGATGGTAAAAGTGAAGAAGAAGGAGAAGGAGAAGATGAAGAAAAGAGAAAGAGTGACGAAAATATAAGAAAAGAAATAAATAAAATACTCCACTCTGAAAGGGGCCAGTGTAATCATTATCGCATTGATGATGAGTTTCATACTCAATAAATGTTCAGATGTTCATCAATTGCGACCATGAAACTCACTTGGTAACAATAGCGTAAAGCAGGAAAAATAATTTAATATGAAGAAATGTAAGAAAAGGAAAGTATATAAAAGAAGCGATAATAAACAGATCACTAAAAAGGAAACATCAAATATAAACAAAGAAAGAAAGAAAAGTAACGACTGTGAGGACAAGGAAGGGAGAATGAATAAAAAAGAGAGAGGAAGGATAAAAGGGTTCAGAAATACAGAAAAGAAAGAAAGAAAGAAAGCATGAAAGAATAATAGAAGATAGTTAATAAAAAATTAAATGATACGAAATAAATAAAGAACGAATAAGAGAACGAAAGAGGGGAGGAAAAGGAAGTATAAATAACGGAAAGAGAAGTGCGAACAGAAAAACAGATGGAAAATAAGAAAGAAAGAAATAATGAAAGAATGAATTAATGAATGGACGAACGCAAGAAAGAAAGCAAGAAAGGAGCCGAAAAGAACCAACCAAACAAATAAACAAACAAAAGAAAAAAAGAATGAAAAACAAAGATAATGCAGAAAAAAGAGAGTACGGAAGAAAAGAAGTAAAAGAAAGAAAGAAAGAAAGAATAAATGAATGAATGAATGAAAGGAATGAATTAAACTGAGATAATGTTAGAAAAAAGAATCTACGAAAAAAAAAAGAAGTTAGAGAAAGAAAAAAGAAGGAAAGAAAGAATGGATGAATGAAAGAAAAAGAATGAATTAAACAAAAATAACGTTAGAAAAATAGCGAGTACAGAAAAAAAGAAGTAAATGAAAGAAAGAAAAAAGAATGAATGCAAGAAAAATAATGAATGAAACAAAGATAGTGTTAGAAAAAAAAAGAGTACGGAAAAAAAAAAGTACATTAAATAAAGAAGGAAAGTCAAAAAAGTGTGAATGAAAGAAAAAGAATGAATTAAACAAAGATAATGTTAGAAAAAAAAGAATACGGAAGAAAAGAATTAAAAGAAAGAAAAAGATTGAATAAAAGAAAAAGAATGAACTAAACAAAGATAATGTTAGCAAAAAGATGATACGGTAGAAATTAATTAAAAGAAAGAAGGAAACAAACAAACTAACAAAGTTAAAAAAAATCTCGTAATAAAAGAGAGAATAACTACATTGAGAGAGAAGAGTTGTATATTCTAAGAATTCATGCCACACGCTACAGAGTCACTTAAAACCAGCCATCATTTGTTTTGAAACAAAATACCAAGTAAATATAATTTTCCTTGTTTAATCATTGCCACACTTAGTTTCATTATAATAAATAAACGCAGATAGAAATTTAATCTCGGCTTTCTATTAATTAAATTGCGGCGTTATAGCACATTTCCCGTTGGGGCAATGGTTAGTGTGCTGACGTTTTATTTCTGTATCGTGAGTTCAATCCTTACTGTGAGTCCCACATTTGTGACTTTGTATCAATTTAAGCTTCGTTTAGTAAATCAGAACTGCATGTCCAACAAGAAAGATTGCCTGCACGTAATTGGGAGAGAAAGGAACGAATGTTTGATTGATTTGTACTTTACGGCATATCAACCCTTTTTGGGTTAGTTAAAGCCGAAACATACTTTTTGGATTGTAAAAATAATTTTTTTTTCAGGGGTCAGTGAATATTACATGAACAATTTTTTGAAAATAACAATGATTTTGTCTCTATTTCTGAAATTATGTACTGTAATTATTTACACTATTTACATTGTTCGGGCTGTTGTCCACATCATCGTTGCTATATTCACGAGGTTTCGGCAGCTGTACACTCCGGTTTTCTTCAGATGATTGAAAGACACATGACCCAGTGGATAAAAGCATTGGTTGAATCCAGCGATTTAACCCAAAGAGTTGTGATTTCAATACCCGGCTACAGCAGAGGTGAATAAAAACTTGGCGAGTTGAGTTAAAGGTAGATAACTGATACGGAGACATCCAGAAGAGGAATGACACGTGGAACTAGAACAATCTACCACGGCAGAGGGAATAAAGAGTGCAGTTCGAAATTCCAATCACCTGAAGAAGGCCAGAGCATATAACGACTGAAACGTTGTGAATATGGCAATAAATATGAGAACAACAGCCCGAACAATGTAAATAGGGTAAGTAATAACAATGATTTTTTACAGATACAAGTCCTACTATTTAACCGAAGCTGGGTGTAGGAGATGGATTCATGCCTTCCCCAATGGGTATTCGCGCATAAGTGAATGTAACGAACCTGACTGGATTTCGAACGCGGCTCTCCGATTTCTCATTCCGAGTCGATATCCATTACACTACTCGCACATCCAGAAGGGAACGAAGAGAAAAATATATTAGGGGAAAAGGTTGAATAACTATTTAAGAAGAACAGAAAGACATGTGAATGATGCAGGGATTGGGTAAAAAAAAAAAAAAAAACGTAAGAAAAAAACGTAAGAAAAAAACGTAAGAAAAAAACAAAACAAAAATTCATGGCCCCACCCCGAATGTTACCCAACCAAAATTCTCTAGATAAATTTTTAGTCTATGGCATTAAATCTTATCAGAGTAGAGAAAGAAGCAGGGAGGGCCTTTCTGTATTTACAATGTCGAATCCGCCAGCCTCCACCTTTATTGCTTCTTTCTGACAAAAACCTTCCTCCTGCAGACAACCAAAATGCTTGTTTATTTCTATTTAGACAAAACTGAAAACAAGAAATGATACAACAAAAATTTTTAAAAAGCCAAGAAAAAAAAGAAAGAAAAGAAAAATCTACCCTCTACGTCTTTCAAACAAAGATAATAATTCTGTTGGTGCGCTGATACTGATTTCAAGTACCGATTGAAATGCACACAGACGCGAGAAAATTCGCATCAAAATGTTTGCTTTAAAACTTACTGAGACCTCACGACCTGCTTGCTATCTTTTGTCTTATCTTTGAGCAAAGCTTTTAAAGTTCAGCATAACTACGTCAATTCTCAGTGATGGTTAGCATTTGAAGAAAAGCTTGCTTAGAATAAGGAATTAGACCTGAAGAATAAAAATGTATGCTTCATACTTTCCTCATGAACAACTTTCCAAATTTCTAAGTTTTATTTTTATGAGCCGTGTCCTTTCAAGATGTAGACGATGATGGCTCTCTACAATTTCCTATCATTTTGAACTCTAAAAAATGTTTCTACCTTTACTCTCCATCCCAGTACCTTTGTAGAAGCTCGTTATGGAGGTTATTCAATGCTTTCCTCCGACCCTCTGGACTTCAGTATATCCTGTAAGTGTCAAATTCTCTAGGCACTCTTTCTTTATTGTTTGTCTCAGAAGTTTCAACTGTTTTTTTTTTTTATTCTAAGATAAGTTTTTTTCACTTCCATTTTTCATGAAACTATCTCTTTGATTAAATATTCTGTTCATGGTATTCTCGTCCTTCTGTAGAAGCACATCTTTGTCGCCTCAAGTCTTTTCTTCATCAGTGAGGAACGTGTTCAGCAGTCACTGTCGTAGCGAGGATTGATATCACATAGCAGTTCAGCACTTTTTGGGGAAGCCATCATTCGCTATTGCAATTCGTTTTCGGATTTTTGCGTCATATTTTCCGCCCTGACGTCCGTTTTAACTCTTCCCAAGTCTTTAATTGTTTACACTTTATTCTGACTTTCCTAATCTGTAGCTCGCATCTTTGGCTGTTCCTCTTGTTGACAACAATGCATTGTATCTTCTTACTATTGATAGTTAGTCCTTTCTTCCCACTTCTCTTTATTAGTCTAGCAGTTTCCTAGTCTAGCAGTTCCTTTTTTGTGTGTTTCTGGCATCAATATAGTGCCGATTATTTCCACCAGTAATAAATCCTGGAAGGATTTCTCGTTCTCTAAGAATTGCCTCGCATCACTGCATGGGTTTCTCAAGTATGTCCTGAAAATTCCCAAGTACGCTTTGTTAACTGACAACTCAGGTTAATTACTATTATCTTATAAGTTTATTACTATCATCTTAGAAGCTTATTACTATTATCTTAGAAGCTTATTACTATTATCTTAGAAGCTTATTACTATTTTCTTAGAAGCTTATATTTTCACACACATTCACATACACAGAATTTGTTGAGGTCGGAATATGGGATGCAAATTCAACTTTCGTTGTAAACTACTTGATTCAACCTAAAAAGTTGTGAAAAAAGAATTCTCACCCCACCCCAAAAAAGGAAAAAGAAAACGAACAAAAAATTAATAAATATGTCTTTTTTGTTGTTGTCAACTTGGCGACATTGTCAACTATTTATTTATTGACTTTTTATAAGGGCCTGAATTTCAAGAATGTCCCCCCTCCTTGGTTAAGCATCTCATCAATCATTTCGCAAAATCGGTCACAGACGGCTTTCTGCATTTGACGTTGATAAGTAGCGATCGTGTTTACTTGAGTGGGCGGTGGAATGCACCAAAATGCATGTCAGACAAGCCAATAATACTAATAATATTATATTTCACATATGTTCTATGAATGTCGGTATATGCGCACAGTATATTTATATATATATATCTACGCAATTGTCAGTGATAGCAAGCATAGATCTCTAACGAAATATAAAAGCAACTCCGAAAAACATGCTTACAGGTAGTCGATATTTAATTAACAGGAAATGTGGCCGATTTTATCAATATTTCGAATATGGTTTATTCATGGAATATGAGTCGCACACTTACGTGACATTGGTCGTAAGGCGTGGAGTAAATCTTCTGCTTGTAACATAATACGTTTGGACCCTCAGATTAAGTTGAAAAATATGCTTGTATCTTATCCCAGACTGGGAAGTAGTTAAATATTATTATCCACACGGGTGTTATGAGCCCACCAAGAATACATGACAGTTCTCCTATTAGTTTACCATTCGTCTTCTCAGCCATGACTGCAGATTAATTATGTTGATATAAAGCCGTCTCGATGCACATATCTTTGTAGAGATATATGTATACCCCAATTTATAATTATAAATTAATGTGTTCATATATGTGTCATAATCGTAGGCGAGTTTGCATGTAAATACAAATGAATTCATGTTTAATGATTATACTTCGGTTTGTATGTGTATATTTGCATATGTAATTAGAATTCTTATAATTAGAAAAGACACAATTTATTACGTAGAAAATACTTAGAAGGATTCCTGATAAATATTTTACCATCAATAAGCACACATCAAACACTTTATTATATCACCCACTTTTGTAAAATACATACTTAAAGAATCTAAGATCTGTCTCTTTACAAAAAAAAAAAAACAAAACCCGAAAACGGTGTAACCTAAATTCTTTCACTCTCGCACAAAACATCCATCAATCAACATATGAACAATACCTGACATAAATAAAAATGAACACGAGACGTTCAAACATGCGTGTCCGCACCGCACACACAATTTTCAACCAAATCCCGTATAGACCAACTAGAATTGTAATACACAAACACACAAGAATCAGACACACGGACGTTGATTAACAGAACAAAAATACATAAAGTCTGCATAACCAATGAAAACAAACAACACAAAAACATAACAGAATTTTCTTTTCTCTTCCATCTTTCATTTTCTGATGAAGCTTAAATAAAAAGCAAAACAAGTTAAATTTTTAAACGTTTCCTATTTGTTCCTTATCCTATCATTCTATTGGGTTCTAATCCATACTTGATTCCAATTCTTTTGCATGCATATATATATATATATATATATATATATATATATATATATATATATATACTCCTGGCAAATTTCTTTCTCGATCACTACAATCTTGACCTTTTCAAGTCTAGCGTTGTCCGTTATCTTTCCTACGCAAATACATGAACTACACTTGTCTTTTCTTACGTTCATACAACGCCATACAATAACCCTCTACTTTGAATGACTATTGGACCTTGTATTGGATGAATATTAGTAAAAAAAAAAGAGTACCACATATTTGCTTGTTACTTTCCTAGCCATAACCTGTTGGACGCGACTCGTAAAAGCCGACCCTCTGTGCATCATTGAGAAAAGAGAACCACTAAAACTGTGCAAATGAGTAGCTTTTGACCAAACAGAACAATGGTATATGCATAGACTAGAATCTGTATTCGAGAATGAAACATAAAAATCTAAGGGACTTTGATAATCGAAAGGATCACCCATTCCAAGAAGACTGGAGTTTTTTAGTCGTAAACAAGAATAGATATATATGTTAGTAGGTTTCGCTGTTCTAGATCAGCATTATGTAAAGTTTGTGAAAAAAGTGAAAAAATGGATAAGTATGTTGCCAGAGAGATGAGCAAATTGTGCAATGGAATTAGTGGGGCGCTGGGAACAGCCCCAAAGAGCCGAGAAGTCACGGGTAGATTCAGACAACAGCACGGTTAATAAATTCAGCAAGAATTCTGAGCAAAGACCTGAAGTATTAAGGAGATTTGCTGTCACTTGAATTCTTGTGAAAACCACCAGGTAATGATACTACTACTACTACTACTACTAATAATAATAATAATAATAATAATAATAATAATAATGAGAAGAAGAAGAAGAAGAAGAAGAAGAAGAAGAAGAAGAAGAAGAAGAAGAAGAAGAAGGTAAGATAAGCCTCTTCATTGTCAATATTCTACTCGTACCAAACAAGCTGATGTAGACAAACCCCATGCCCATCAGTGGTTACGTAGTGCAGGGTTAAAAGTTGACACCAAAGGTTTTATTCTTGCTGCACAGGACCAATGCTTGTTTACTAAAAATTACCAAGCACACATACTGAAAAATGGTGTTAATCCGTAATGCATATTCTGTGATAAATGTTCAGAAACAATTGACCATCTTGTATTAGGTTTCACAGTGTTAACACCCACTGAATATAAAACTTGGCATGACAGGGTGGGCCAATATCTGCATTGGAAAATCTGCAACTTTTACAGAAAGGAAACTGCAAGAAATTGGTATGAACACCACCCAGACCTGGTTACAGATATAGAACCTGTAACAGTTTTATGAGATTTTACGATAAACACAGACAGAACAATCAAAGCTAAACACCCAGACATCAAAGATCAAAGACTACAAGAACAGGATGTGCTTTCTTATCTTCGGATTGATTATAAATAATTCCGATAGCCACATAGAAAGAATTCCTGGTAGCCTATACCTTTAAAAAATCCCCCCAAAAAAAAGTGTATTCTCAAATACGGTTCACACATTTACCATTTACATTTATCTATGTAAAATATGTGATCTTTGTTTTTAAACAAAAACTGATAAGTAGAAAATCTCATGAAGCCGTTTCTGAACTTAGGTCTCTATTTGGAACCTGGAAGGAAATGTGTTTACAGCAGAAATCAAAGGAAATAATAATATTACTTGTTATTAATTTAATGAGTCCTTATATTTACGATAATTTTTACGAAACTTATTAATAAATGGGTTTGTGAAATATATTTAAAAAAAAAAAGGATTCACTGTATTATCATATAAACGTTCTAAAGGGGATGAATTGTATTTATATTTCTATTTGCTTACGATCACCTCGCGTGTTAAACTGATTCATAGATGTCGTCGGTCACTTGTGCCATTTTTTCCTATTTTTTCACTTGTGCCATTATTACCTGTACCATTATTACCATTCACCGATTTTGGTATCTCCGATTTGCAATCCGCACATTGGGCTCAGCCTTTTGCTAACAATCGTGCATTTTATCTTCTTGTTTAGTCCTTTCTTCTTGCTTTCCTTCAATACATTCTGTAGGGGTTATTGTAGTTTCCTTTCTGCATATGCTATCAACACTGTGTCATCTGCATATTTTATGTTGTTAAGATTGTGGCCGCCAATAATGAATCCTGGTACGTCAGGGCTTACTAGTTTATAAATAATGTTACATTTCATTCTTGTTTATAGCGAATTGTCAACACATGAATCAAGCATTTAATTCTTCTTTTATGTGCAGTGTACCTTCAGGACATAGACGATCATGGCTCTCTACAATTTCCTATTTTCTCTCGTGCTTAGTGGCCTTTATCATTTCACTATCTCACTGTTCTACCATCCATTTACACCAGCTTGTTTGGCAAGTTTTAATCTGTTTCTTTCTGTCTCTCTTGATTTCACTATCTCCTGTGAGTGACTACTTCTCCAAGCCGTCTTTCCTCATTATGTGTCCTAGAAATTTTATTTGTCTATTTCTGTTCCTAATTATAAACGTACGTTTCGTTTCCATTTATTTAAAAACTTACTCGTTGCTCACATGATCAGTCTCTGGTATTCTCATCATCATTCTGTAGAACCACATTTATTTTGACTCTTCATCATCTCTTCTTCATCTTTGAGGAAATTGTCCAGTACTCACTGCCATACTGGAGGACGGATATTACGTAACAGTTTAGTACTCTTTTTCTTGTTTCTAGCGAAGTTTAGCCTATTTCTTAGTAAACTACTTAGCTTTTGGAATGCATCTTTGGTTATCCTAATATGCCTTTGGTTTTCAGTGTCACACCTGTCCTTTGTTAAAAATCTTCCCAGATATTTAACTTTCAGCATTTGGTTGATTCTGTTATTTCTGGTTTGCAATTCCCACTATGGGCTCATTATTTTTTTTTTTTTTTTTTTTGCTAACACCCATGCATTTTGTCTACTTGTGATTGACGTTTAATACTTTCTTCTCACTTTCCTTCATTATCTCCTGTAGGAGTTTTTGTAGTTTTCTTTTTGAGTCTGCTATCAACACCGTGTCATCTGCACATTGTCAGAAAACTGTAAATGCACGCATCTGTTGTTTTGCGTTATTGGATCAACCGCCATATTGGGCTAAATTAATCTCTTCCCGTTGTGTACCAAATGACTAGGATCTACTGTGCACACACTATACAAACAAGTAGTAACGTGCAAGACTTTAATAGACATTAAACTGAAAAAAATCTTTGAGGTAGAAGGACAGTGTTGTATGTGGACAGCTCAGAAAATAAAATTGATAAAAATAAGTTTGAGCGCCTGTGCTTTTCTAAAAAAATATTTAAAAATCGGCCCTAGATTAAATCAAATTTAACCCACTTTTCACCAGCAGAAATGAAGATGATTTGTCAGAAAGTCATCCTATTACAGTTGTGCTTCACTCTCCTTTCGTTAGTCCGCACGAACATCACACACAGCCAATACCTCATAAGTAATGAACTATTCCGTTCTAAACGCGTGGAGAGACAAAAGACTTATCAGAGACGCTACATGGTTTCAGTGAAAAAAAAAAGCAAAAAAGATAGAAGTATTTAACGTTTTCTGCTAATACCTCATAAATAATGGTCTATTCCGTTTTGATCGCGTGGGAAAACAAAATACATCAAAGACGCTACTTTGTTTCAGTGATAAAATGAAAGAAAGAAAGAAAGAAAGGAAGATAAAAGTAGTTTAATGTCTGTTTCAGTGAAATGGAAAAACGTTGTCAATTTCAAATATTTTCGTTTGTACCTCCTTACTTGTTAAAATAACGACCAGCTTTTATACTTGTTATTGCAATATTTTGTTAAAGTTGTTAAACTCAAAGCTTTAACGATGCGATAGGGGAATTTCTGCGGATATTTTATTGTCGTAGAACTCACCATGAGCATGTTAAATCATTAACTGAAGAATTAAGATTCATCAGAAATATAGGAAAACCATGAATTTTTCCCCGCGTTAGAACTAGTAAATATGAATTACTTTCTTCAAAATGTGAGTTCGCAAAAGAGAGAGAGAGAACTAATGCTGAAATGATGCCAAAACTTAAATCAGGCATGAGCAACTTTTTTCAAGCAGTGCGCCGCACAATCTATGGCTCATCCCAAAGTGGACTGCACTACTAAAATGATTCAAGTTCTTTTTTCGTAGTAATTACCTCCGATATTTTCACTACAGAAGACCATATGTGTAAGCTTATATCCTTAACAATGAAGGAAAAGGTTTTTTTTTTTTGTATTTTTTAGAAAGGTCTTTTTCTATAATTAAAAATTAAAGACTTGTATAATATTATCACTGATGACAATGTAATTAACAAATTTCACTGCTTGTGATTTATTTCTAATTGATTCATTTGAAAATAAAAAAAAAACATATTTCTTCTCTAGGGAATAAAATATTATGAATGATTTCTGTTTCAAAAGTAAAAAAAAAATTTACACGTATGATCTTCCTTAGTTAAGATCACCAATGGTTTAAAATGACGTAAACGTTAATTTAACCAAAAGTTTATAAAATTCTTAAATTTTATAAAAAATTGTACCTAATCATTTTTTATGTATGTGGTTATATATGAGAGAAATTGTGAGTGAACAAGTGAGAACGGAACAAAACAACATTTTAAGAAACGTTATTTTCCTTTTGAAATTAACTGTGCCATTCAGAAAGACTAAACGGGCCGCGGACCGCAGTTTGTCCATGACTAACTTAAACAATCAACCGAAGCAAGTTGTTCGCTATACAGATAACGAAGTTATTTCAATGGACAATTTGACTGAAAGAAAGAAAGTTCACATATTTATTATGCAAAAATAACTAGCGTCATTTTCTTATACTTTAAAAAGGTTACTAAAAAAAACATTCGTAAATACAACAAAATTACAGCTTATTACCTTTCAGCAAATCAACTGCTTTTCAGATGAATGAAAATTGTGTTACATGCTACGTGGTCCATTTAGATATTGACGTAGCGGAAACTAGATTCATATAATTATTCTCATTAACCTATTCAGTTCATCTTTTTATTTTCATTGCTGTCTTCATTATAATTGTCATCATTATTATCCCAAACATTTGCAATGTTGCAATTTGTTCCATGGTTCGGATCATTGTCAAAATGTATGAGCCATCTTTGCGTACTTATCAGCAGTCATCGTCAATATCGGCAACGAAGCATCAAATTCTAGAAACATTTTCACCAATATAGTTGGTGCTTTCACCATCTTTATGAACATGGTAACAGTCGTCTTTCTCAGCAACTCCGTTGTACCGTCATCTATCAAATTACAAGAGCCGAAAAGAAAAACAAAAGAAGAAAGAAAGGAAGGAGAGAGTGAAGAACTGGTACAGGCGAAAATGGATAGCTAAGAGAATAAAGATTTGAAGGAACAAACAGCCTTATTAAAGAAAGAAAGAAAGAAAGAAAGAAAGAAAGAAAGAAAGAAAGAAAGAAAAGGAGAAATAAAGAAAAAAGAAAGAAAGAATATTGAAGGAAACACAGTTAAAAAAAGGGTAAAGACAACAAATAAAATTGGCCAAAAGAAAGAAAGAAAGAAAGAAAGAAAGAAAGAAAGAATATTGAAAGAAAAAGAATTAAAGAACGTGTAAATGTCAAGAAAAAATAGATATATACTGGAATAAAAGTTTGAAAGAAAGAGCTAAATTGAAGAAAGGAAGCGAGAGAGAGAGAGGGAGAGAGAGAGAAGAGAAAGGCAAAGAGATAGAGAGAAGAGAACGGCAAAGAGATAGAGAGAAAGAGAGACAATCAGTGAAATAGAACGAGTACATTACAAAGAACTGCTGGAACTGCTAGTTAACTTTGACGTATTTGGGAAGGATATTAGAATAATCCAGAATCTATATTGGCAGAAAATCCCCTGTATATGGATAGAAAATGAATTCAGTAAATATACTAAAATAGAAAGGAGTTTAAGACAACGAGGTGTCTTCTCGCCGGACTCATTCAACCTCTACAGTAAAGCGATTAGAGAATTAGAAGTCCTACCATGATGCATTACTGACGGTCACAATCATAACAATATAAGATATGCAGATAACACTGTTGATAGCAGACATAAAAAGGAAGCTGCAAGAACTCCTACAGAAGATAATGAAGGAAAGTGAAAAGAAAAGACTAAACATCAATTTCTTTTTCTTTCTTTCTTTCTTTTTAAATTTATAAAGCAAGAACGACAACCCAGTTAAGATTGTGTCTCTGATTAGTCTATATGATCCTATATTTAACGAAGCTTACCCCGTTGCTAACTACAAAAAAAACTTACCCCATTGCTATCATGAATAAAAAGGGTAAGTTAGGAGTTGGTTGTCAAAAAAAAAAAAAAAAAATCCGTTTGACAGCCATGTAAGAGACATTTTGCGCTTGTGAAGAAATTTAATTTGTTTATTTTCTTCCGTCTTCATTTTTCTGTTTCGCTTCTTGATGTTCGTCTATACCCGCCATTTAAAAAAAAAAAGGTTATGAGCTTAGATTACTGTTGATAATGGAATTGTTCGCTTAGCTCTTAACTTTATTTTAGGAGGACGCAATATTTCTATGCACCTTTTGGATAAAATCTTTATTTAAAAAGAAAAAAATTCAACTCAAGCAAAGCGATAAAGTCTTTAGGATCCAAGAAGTTACAGGGACTGAAAAAGAATTAGAAGACTTCAGTGAGAAGAATTGGAGATAGGACAATAAAAGACGACAGAAGATGGCTAGTGGCGTTGCATTTAAATCTTTGAAGATTGTAGGCGGCAGGGAAGCAAGAAACTGAAAGATTTTCACTGGCAAGAAGTGCGAGAAAAGAAACTATTAGAATAGGACCTAGATGCCAATCTAGTAGTACGCTTACATTCTTGCGGTCAAGATATCAAGGAGGAGAGCTTTTTAGAACAATTGCCATGAAAATATTTATAGAAAAGACAGAGGGAAGCCACGTCACGTTGGTGGGAAAATGACTGAAGTAGAGATACCAGGTCAGGACCGATAACATTACCGACCCTTCTTTGGATTTTGTCGAGAACTTCGATATATATCAGGTGCATCAGACCAGATATGTCATCAATAATCAAAGCAAAGACAAATGGCAGATTTATAAATGAGTAAGATGGATTCTGACAAGAAAAATTGTCTGACAAGTCACAGTGAATCAGTTTTCTTAGCAAGTAATTTAATATAATCACACCACTTCATCTCAGTGGAAAACATGAAACCAAGAAGGTGCAACGAGTTGCTCTCTTGGAGGTTGGCATCAGTCAAAAAACGGTTGTCAAGATTCCACTGTATCCTTTCCAAGATAATGCGTAAAAAGTAAACGACGTGGAATTATTGATGTAGACTTACAGAGAAGAATTAGATCTGTAGCTTCTCACTTGACTTGTACAACCTATGGAGCGAGGCAGTTGTGAGAGAATTAGAGGTCCTGTCAAGATTTTTTGCTGGCGTCCACAATCTTAACAACATAAGATATGCAGATGACGCAATGCTGATAGCGGACACGGAAATAAAACTATAAAAGAAGGTAGTGAAGGAAAGTAAGAAGAAAGGACTAAATATAAGCCAAAAGAAGATAGAATGCATGGTTGTCAGCAAAATAGAACGGCCCAAAATGCAAGTTACAAATCGGGGATACTAAAATCAAACAAATACAAAAATTTAAATATCAGGGAAGTGTTCTAACAGAGGACGGAAAGTGCGACACTGAAATCTGAAGATGTATTGGGATGGCCAAAGATGCATTCCAAAATCTTACCAGAGTATTAAAAGACAGAAAAACTTAGAAACAAAAAGAAAGTACTGAACTGTTACGTGATATCTGTCCTCTTATATGGCAGTGAATACTGAACAATTCCCTCAAAGATGTAGAAGAGACTTGAAGCAACAGAAATGTGGTTCTACAGAGGCATGTTGAGGATATCATGGGCCGAACATGTGAGCAACGACGAAGTTTTAGAGAAAATGGAAATAAAAAGGAAAATTATACTTAACATCAGGGTAGGAAAGAGTGCTTGGAAAATCTGATACACACAGGGCAGATTGATAACAAAATGGACAGAGAAAAACAGCGCATGACCTACCGATCTATGGACAGAGGAAAACAACGCGTAACATACTTAATGCACTTGAGTAAATGGATGGCAGAACAGGGTTTGGTGGAAATAACAAAAAGACAAAACTTATTAAGAGCTATAAGGGACAGGGGTGGACGAAGGGACACAGCACCTAAAGAACGGGATGGAATCAGAACAGTTTGAATGAAATATAGAATAAAAAGTACAGTATTAGATTTGTAAATGGTATTTGAATAAAATTAGAATTGTTTGATCTAGATATAGAATAAAGCAGGGGTTCCCAACCTATTTGCTTCATCGTCCACTTTCACATGCATAAATTTTCCGTCGCCTACCTATATAGTAAATATTCAAAAACATACCAAAATTGTTTGGTGAAAGTTTGTTGCTAGTTCATAGACTAAATTTATGATGTAGCATAAAATGTAAGTAACAAATAAGGCTGATTTATGCGACGCACACGTATTAAAGAACAAATGAAAGCAAACCTGACCGTTGAAAACTATATAATTTAATTTTATAGACAAGGGCAGTTTTATGGTTAGGAATTACGTTACAAGTATTGACAAAAAATAAATGATTTTTGTTCATAATTATATAATTAAAAGGAATATAATACGACTAACAAATAACAAAAGTTCAGCGAATATTTTTGTTGTTCTTGATCTTCCTTTATCCAATTTATATCTGAAAAAATGTTATTTCGTCTGAAGAACTATTTGAATATTAATGGCCCTTTTAAAACCTATAAAAAATACCAAAATATTCGTTTTTTGAAGGGATATTTATACCATATCTAGAAATGTGACACAGTTATACCCATTTATCATTCCGTTTTTTTTTTTTTGTTTTTTTTTTGTTTTTTTGTTTTTTCTTTTTATATACAGGTTCTTTGCATGTCTCCTTTGAATATTTTTTGTGGGTATGTTGAAATAACATTTTAATACCCAAAATCCTATATCGCCCACCAAAACTTCCAATCCACCATAATTTTCTGCTCAGTTGCTCATCAGCCATCCAACAGTTGAAATCACCCACTGGTGGACGATATCGCCCAGGTTAGGAAACCCTTGAATAGAGAGTATAGAAATTGACTTTTAGAAGTTAGTTGAAGAGAATGTGGTTTGTTAGAATTTATATAAAAAATGTAGAATTAGTTGAAGAGGATGGAGTTTGTTAGTATTGAAATAAAAGACATAGAATTAGTTGAAGAGAATGGGAATATTCAGAATTAAAATAAAAGACATAGAATTAAAATAAAATTGGTATCGTAGATGACAGTTTAAGAGAATTATAATAAATTTCGAATATAATGTATAGAATTATATTTTTAGAAGCTAGTTACAAAGAATTAATATTGTTAGAATTAGATATAAAATGAGAGATATAACATTAGATACTTGGGTTATAAAGGGAAAATTATATTTCTTCTACTGTAAACTGGAACATATACAAAAAGAAAAAAATCGTATGTAATCCTTACATTAAAGAATATTTTCCGAATGAAAACAGAAACCAATTTTTGTAATGTGATATAGAAGAGGTTGTGTTGTAATTTGAATATATGCATTTGGTTTTCACTGAAGCGCAGGGTGAGGGTCGTTGCTCACAGAGACTCACGTATGTTTCTTTCGTTTTACGCCTTCTCAAGAAATCGTCACGTATGGAAGGTGCCGCACGATAATGTTAAACTCTTGTCGAGTAAAAAACATTTATCACTTTGAATAGAAGCATTTGGGTTAGGAAAACAGAAGACCACCCAGTGGCGAAACAGTAGACCGTTCTGAGAGTTTCAGTAAGAATTGCATTCCTTGGGAAAAATATAGTGTGCTTCTTTTTATAAACTATGTGTTCTTCCTACTTGAATTTATAACTTATTTATAACTTACAACATATTATATTTTTTTTAAATCGGTATCACCCTATACAAGGCAATAAAAGACACTAAGACACAATAGGTTATAGGGTGTGGAAGAAATGAGTGAAAATAGAAAAGAGTTATCAGGAGGACAGTAGATAGCGATTGACATTGCATTTAAATTTTTGCAGATTAAAGTTGACTGGAAAGCACGGAGCCGGGAGGGAATTTCACAAGCAAAATGTGCGAGAAAAGAAACTGTTAGCATAGAATTTACGTAAGTAAATTGATGAGATCTCGACACCAGTCTTGTACTGCGCTTAAATTCATAAAGTCTAGATACCATATATAATAATTATATATTATATATAATAGTTATATATTATATATAATAATTATATATTATATATAATAATTATATATTATATATAAGCCAAAGCGTTTCGTCCTCTGAGGAACTTTATCAAGGTAAATAATATTTATTTATGTTAAAACATAAAATGTGGCACAAGGCCAAAAATAGGTGATAGGGAAAGGTGGTTATCAATCCGTCTTATCTTAAATTTAGCTAGCCATAATCACTGACCCAAACAAACTATACGATATTCTTTACACCAAAACATCACATTCTTACTTACCATTCTTACTACAACCACCATAATGTCTTGAGGTCTCTATGTGTTGTGGTAGGATCCACCTAATTTGTATAGTGGAGTACCGACTATATAAATATGGTTGGTACCGGGAAGAGAGGGAGGAATCAAGAGATTCAACCAGAGACTCTGCCCGACTGCGACTCAGTCAACACATTCTCCAGGAACGGTCTTACCAGGAATATACAAAAGACTATATGTAAATATTGTGTACACTTTCTTGTTTCAATACATTTTGTACTAAGTACATTTTGTGTTGCATTATTATTCCATGCATTAGTCAAGTTTCAACACTATGAACTCCTAACAAGTCTCTATATGTACAATTTGTCTTTGGAGGTGGGGAATAAAATAACTTTTAAAAATGAAAACCCCAATGAATATTTTCAATGTAATGAATGCGAATATGAATAATAACGGTCATATATATGAGCGTTTTTAATTTAAACATTTTGTAAAGCCAATAGCATTTTTGATTTTGTATATAAGTGTTACAAAATAAAATCTTTGCGTTTGCCTTGATAAAGTTCCTGAGAGGATGAAACGCGTCGGCTAAGATAAGTTTTCCTTTTGTATTTATTGGTATTGCCCTTTTACAGATATATCATATCTGAAATTTTACACACACACACGCCAGCATATATATATATATATATATATATATATATATATATATATATATATTATCGCTTCAGAAAGTATCTG